CACACACACACACACACACACACACACACACACACACACACACACACACACACAAAAGGTTGAGGATGTCTCTCACTTGCCTATCCAGCATATGGCTCTGAATCCAAACCTTAGTACTATTTTTCCTTCCCCGTTATTTTGGTTCAGAGGCTATAGTCGATCTCATGTCTATGGCAACATATAGTAACCCTTACTGTCATACTTATAAAGCAGATACTACTGTACACCCTATTGCCCAACTCAACGGTATTGTCAGTTACAAATTATATTGATTTAATAATATTGATTTAATAACAATGTTTGGAGAAAATGAATAGTTGCTACATTGAGTGTGTGTGTATATATAATATGGAAAGTTAAAATGTGAAACATTTTAGAAAGGTGAATGTTAAAGATGATTAAATCAACGAGGCTAAATTATATCAAATGTGGATTTAAAAACAAAAGACATAAATGAGGGTTTATAATTGTGCACTAACCATTATTTGTGTGGTAGTATTTTTAGTAAGATATATAAAAGTTAAAAGGCTGTAAAAATTCTACCTAAAATCTCATATTCTCAAGTGTGAGGACAATAATTGGATATATTAATAGTGATTTAAATACGAAACCTGAGGCACATTGTATATGGACATGGGCTAATACTCCTAATACCATTAGAAATGTTTTTGGCGAGTCTTTAAAAATGATACACTATAAAAATAATAGAGTAAGGTGGATGTAGGTGTATCTGAAATATATCACACTCAATTATGGATATTAACTTTTGAATTTCATATGAGTACACAGGAAAAAAGTATATTTTGAAATTTGCTTTCTGTCTTCTTTTTAAACTTCTTTCATTGTGACTTATGTTCTTTGCAAAACAACTAAACATTTCAAATTTTGGCCTTGTGGTCTTGCTGAGATATTTTATCCATGTAGGACTATTATATTCTATCTTTTGTATGTCTTGTTCACATCCATTGGGCACTCATATTGAACTTTTTATAAGTAGTGCAAAAATGAAATACTTAAAAAATTGAGACAATAAAAATAAAATAGGCCACAAGTTTTGCTGACTTACACTTTTTTTTGGTAATAAAGATCAAATCTCTACATTCATATAGCAGAAACAAAACTTTCATTGATTTCTTATACTGAGATAGTTTTAAACCAAATTTTCTTTGGGTTTACCTTTATTGTAGACTGATAGAGTATTTAACAATGCTTCTAACTTTTAAGCTGTTTGCTTTCTTAACCTTGTATTGCTGGTGACTTTCAGGTTCCTACAGTATGAAGTAGTTTTAACATCATGAAACACTGGTGATATATCATTTCTTTATTACCTTCCCAAATATGCCTATTACTTTTATGTTGAGGACTCTTGGGAATGGCTCTCAGAGGCTTTGCCTTTCATGACAATTGAAGTTATTTGGTAAGCGCTTGCTTTCTTTTTAGCTTCTAATTTTTCCCTATTTTATTTTGTACATGATATTTGTTTCAAGGTCAAAGGTTCCGTTACAGTTACTATGATGAATCCCAGGGGGAGATTTATAGATCCATTGAACATCTAGATAAAATGGTAAGTCTTTCAGGTGTGGGGTTTTAATGCTTTAAGACATTTTCTTTAATTTTAGATTAGTGATTCAAGACTGAACATGTTAATTATACAATGGACTAACAATTCTTTACCTATCTTTAATTAAAAGTACAAATTCAATGTTTATTGACATGGTGGTACTGGCCTATAGTCACAGTATTGGGTGGCTGATGCAGGAGGATTGCCAGTTTGAGGACAGCCTGTGTGTGTGTGTGTGTGACCTTGTTTCAAAAGAACCAAACAAACAGAAAAACAGTACAATTTGTCCTCACATTATTATTGACTATAATAATAATAATTACTTTTCTACTGGTAGATCATTGCTTCATCATAATTTTGAGTAATGAGTGTATTTAATAAAAATTTTATAGATATGGATCTTATCTATATTTTTGGAGAAGCATCTTAGTAATACTAAGATATTACTCTTAATGCTTGTTAAGCGGTAACAAGCATAGCAGACAATCTCTGATTGCTCTAAATACTCATTTTGAGAGATTTTAAATGGATTGTTGTTTGTTACATTTTAGTAACTTGGTATTTTTTTTCAAAGTTTAGTTTGTTATAGGGAAAACTGTTCTTGGTCTTGAGTGATGGTGAAGATTTTGTGAATTAGTTGATGAAGTCTGTGCCCTCTCGCATATAATAATAGATGAAGACAAGAAAGTAAATATTAAAATCTCGTTATTTTATTGACATTCTTGTTTTTTCCATTATCACCTTTTTTCTTCTCTAAATACTGGCATTCTAGGTCTCTGATGATAGGATAAAGGAATTCCAGTATATCCAAAATCAAACCAACTTAAGTCCTGGATGCTAAACTAAAGCAATTTTTATAAGTACTTTATTTTAATATTTTAATTTTTAAGTTAAAGTCTTTTTTGTTTGGAATCATATTGGACTTCTCTTTCCAGTTCTTCTCAAAATAAATTTAGTGAAATTAATTTTAACCAGAATAAATTTGAGCCTTAGTGTTATTACATATTGAACTAAATTCTTGTTTTGACTTTTCATTTATCAGTGATCTAAAGCCTATTATGACTTGAACTTTTAATTTTCTATTGCCTGTAGCCTATATCTGCAATGCTAACTACAGAAATTTAAAAAAAAAGTCAAATATGGAAAAAGAATTACTTTTATAAATACGGAACATTGTTTTTCACTTGCCTTTTGTTCTTCCCATAAATTTTAGCTTATTATTTTATATTTCAATTATTTTGATTTTACCTAAATAGAATTACAGTTTGTTTTTGTAAATACAGAAATTCAAAGTATAATTGTATTCTTACCTATTCAGACATTGACTCTAGTGTCATTTTTTTTTTGGAGTAGTATGGTAGTCCTTTTAATGTTCAGTTTTTAAAAAGTCTCACAAGTAATTTTCCTTTTCTACTTATAAACATATTCAGTATAACAAGATTGTCACTAATTTATTCTCTTACCTTTGACAGATCATTTAGCTCTCTTATTTTCAGTTCCTCATCTGTAAGGACAGACACTTGGACTAAAAGATCTGTAAAATTTTTTAAAATTCTATTATAGATATGTCATAAAGTATTATAGCAGTGCCATGACTACAGATTACCTTCTTAAAGACATTTAATCATGTTTATATTTATCTTCATTGTTATTTTAAATTCAATGACTGTCAATACTTGTAGATTAATTTTTTTAACTTTTGGCTTTATGTTATTTTTATTTTAATTGATTAACTAGTCTCTCTTCTCTGGGTTAGTTTTCAATTGCCTCAGAAAACTTTTCTGGTTCAGTTATCATTTATTTTCTTCATATAGCAAATACTTAATGGTTGTCTACTGTGCAAGGTACCATGTGAGATACGAAGATTACCAAGAAGAGAAAACATGGTTCCTAACTTAATTGAACATAAGTCCTGTGGGTAACAGACTTATGACGGGGCCATTACAACATAGAGATCTGAGAGATGTATTAGGAGATAGAATGAAAGGAACTTTAGTAACTGATTAGCTACATATACCATGTTAAGGAAATGTAGGGTTTCGGATAGTTTCTGCATTCTATACTTACATAGGTGTTGTTATGTATTTATATAGTAGGGAAGATGTTTAAGGGGAGAGATGAGTTCAATTTTAAACATTGCTTTTGTGCTGTGTTTAGAAGTGCATTTTCCTGAACTATAGCCACTAGTCACACACAGTTTTTTTTTTTTTTTTTTTGGTCTTGTTTTGTTTTTTTGCCTGTCATGGGTCCTGAACTCTGGGCCTGGTGCTGTCCCTCAGCTTTTCAGCTCAAGGCTAGAGCTCTACCATTCTAGCCAGAGTGACATTTCCGGCTTTTTCGGCTTATGTGGTGCTGAAGAATCGAACCCAGGGCTTCATGCATGCAAGGCAAACACTCTACCACTGAGCCATCTTCCCAGCCCCTCACTTAAAATGTTGATAATGTGGCTGGACGTTCATGCCTGTAATCCTAGCTAATCAGGAGGCTCAAAGTTTTAAGCCAGACTGGGCAGAAATGTCCCTGTGAGACCCTTATCTCCAATTTATTAACGCCTCAAAAAACGGTAGCTGTAGCTCAAGTGATAGAGTACTAGCCTTGAGCACAAAGAGACTCAGGGACAGCACCCAAGTCCTGAGTTAAAGCCCCACAACTGACCCCCAAAAATGGTTGATAATGTGATTTTAGATATGCTGTAAGTGTAAAATATCACACTGGATTTCAAATACTTAGAATGAAAAAAAAATTTCGAATGATTTTTATCATGATTATGATATAAATGGATTGTGTAGATAAAATATTTTAAAGTTAATTTCACTTTTTTGTCATTTTGTTTTTAATGTGGATAGTAGAAAATTTTAAATGACAAATTATATTTTAAAGGGTTACTGCTGGTTTAAAACACAAAGATGATTCTGAATGGAGATAAACACTTAAAAACCATTGGTATATGAAAGGTAGATAGAAAGGGTATTTGTGCTGGTGTCCAGAGAGTACAAGAAGCATAAAGAAAAGAGGAGTTAGTTGAGTCACAGGAGCAAAACAGCATTAAGTGGGTGAAAAGATCAAAAAGAACTAGTAAAATAATTCTGTCCAGAATGAGTGCTAACCCAGGAGGGGAGAACTTTAATTAAGAGAGAGGGGTACTATCAAGTAGTATGGTGAGTCACGTTAAGAATAAAATGAGCAGATCAAGAAAATAATTTAAGGAGAGAAGCTAAATTAAGATGAACAAAAGACAAAATTGTCCTTTTACCAGTTTGACTGATTAGAAAGGAACAATATTTGGGTGTTGACGGATTGGATGTGGAGAAGATGTAGGGAGCACAGTTGAGGAAGAAGGCATTTTGCCTTTTCTTTCTACATCATGTACTCTTTCAGGACCCTGGAATTAATATCCTTACTTTTCATCTACCCTTTATATACCAATGACTTTTTTTTTCATTTTGGTAAATACTATTTTATATGGCACATAAGCATTGTGTCTTCGTGTTCCTCTCTTAAAAGTATCCTCCTTTGGTTTCACTGTGGGTGAATGCCTAGAGTCTTGTATAATTTATCATGTCCTGGTATATTTTAGGGCTAGCTTCCACAAATGAGAGAAAACCTATGCCATTTGTTTCTCTGAACTTGGTACCAATGATTTTTAAATGTTTATCCATATCTACCATTGTGTCCTAAACAGCAAGATGGAAATTGAGAATCCAGTGATGTTTATTACTAATTTTAAGTCTAATTTTAAGAGGTGAGAGTCTCAAAATGAGATCAGCTATATGGTTCTCATTTCTGCATCACTTTCATTATTCTCTTTATTCTTATAGGAAGGAATATAGGGATTTGGGAGAGTAACTCAGTGATAATTTATGTGAAGACCCTAGTGCTAACACTCAGCATCCACACAGAAGAGTATCTGTAGGAAGAATGAGTGTGTATATGTAAAATAGATAGTATCACTGGATTACATTTAAATTTTTCCCTATCATTAAAATTGTCTTTGCTAGCCGGGTACCGGTGGCTCATGCCTGTAATCCTAGTTACTCAGGAGGCTGAGCTCTGAGGATCACAGTTCAAAGCCAGCCCAGGCAGGAAAGTCCATGAGACCCTTATCTCCAATTAACCACTAGAATACCGGAAGTGGTGCTGTGGCTCAAGCAGTAGATTGCTCACCTGGAGCTGAAGAGCTGAGGGACAGCACCCAAGCCCTGAGTTCAAGCTCCACTACCAACAACAACAAAAAAATTGTCTTTGTTGAGCTAACTATATAGAAAGTAATCTTCAAAAATACCTCAGTATTTATTCCAGAGTAAATAAAAGTCTTTCTGGAGTGGTTTATTTTATTTTATTTTTTTTTAGCGTTTGCTCTAAATTTTATGAAAAAAATCTTAATAGCTTATCATCAACAGCTTTTGCACCTAAAAGCTAAGAAAGCTCCTTCCAAGGACCACTGTTATAAATTCCATACTTAGCAACTACTAGTTTGGTATTTCCACTGGGGCCTTACTAATATTTATTTATTTATTTATTTATTTTTGTCACTTGTGGGGCTTGAACTCTGGGCCTGCGTGCTGTCTCTCAGCTCTTCAGCTCAAGGAGAGGGCTCTACCACTTGAGTCACAGTACCACTTCCAGTTTTCTGGTAGTTAATTGGAGGTGAGAGTCTCACAGACTTTTCTGCCAGGGCTGGCTTTGAACCAAGATCCTCAGAGCTCAAGCCTCCTGAAAAGGTAGGATTACAGGTGTGAGCCACTGGCACCTGGCTTATTAATATTTAAAATGAATCATGTCATTGATTGCAACTCCCGATTTTCTCCTGACCAAAAACCTTTTATAGTTGCAAGTTTTCCCAACTCATTTGACAGCTTATAGTTTCCTGACTTTTTTTTCCCCATCTAGTTTTTTTAATCTTTAGTTTAAAAGTAGCTTAAAATATGAACCAAAGCACACCTTTTAAAGTCCAAATCAGATTGTGTCATTCTTCTGTTCAAGCCCCTTATAATATTACCTTA